GTAGATACTTAATTTTATTCAAAATTTTTTATCACTTTAATATGGGCTTAATTTTGTAATTGGATCATGATCATAATTTTTGAGCTTATTTCACAATTAGGATGAGCCAAAAAATAAGGCCCCTTGCATAGGCCAAAATGAATAACCAAAATAGCCTAATAAAAAATCTTTTTTGAAGCATATTATTGGTCATTAAATAATAAAAAAATCACAAAATATTAAATATTGAATATTAAATATTAAAAAAAATATAAAAAATAATAACAAAAAGAGCTTGATCAAAAATAAAATTATGAGAGGCCATGAGATATGACCCAATCAAAAGCCTAAGTTTGCCACAAAACATGACCCAAATCCAAGAATTAAAAAAGGCTCATTCAACCTTGCTTGGAGGAAAAAGCCATATACAAAAAAGGAAAAAGAAAACCATGAAAGGGATATGAAGAAAAATTGCAAGATAAAGGTGGTGGTTTAGGTTTGTGGGTATAAGAAAGTAGTATAGGAAAAACTAAAACACAAAAATAGTAGAAAAAGAGGAAGGGAAAGCTTTTTGGAGAACCAAAAAAAAAATTGAAAAGAGAAGATTTGGGCATGTAAAAATAGATGAATAGTAGTAGTAAAAAAGTAACGACAAAAAAAGAAGAAACTCGTGGAAACTAGAAAAAACCAAAAGGTGCTAGTAGCAAGAGATAAAAGGATACCAAACTGAAAAAACAAATTGGATAGCTAAAAAAAACCAGAAAAGATACATGAAAAAAACCAAAAGAGAAAGAAGAAGCATGTGGTAAAAAAAAGAAGTAGGTGGGCAAAATGCAGCTACGAGAAAGTAGCAAAATAAAAAGAAAAAAAAACTAGAAAAAGGAAACAACAGTAGCAAAAAATAAAAGTAAAAACAGAATAGGGGAGATCATGAAACAACAAAGAAAAATTTGAATAGAATACAAACAAAAACAAAAAAAGAGAAAAATCAATAAAAAAATCAAAAAATAGATCAAAGGAAAACGGTACTTCTTTGGTTTTCTTTCAAACTTTTTATTTTCATGATTATTTTGCCTTACTATTTTCTTTTTCATGCATTGCTCATCTTTATTTAGTTTAAAAGATTCCTTCTTGGCATGTATTTCTTTTTGAAAAAATGGTTTTTAAAATAAAGTAGGATAAGGTTTGTTAAAGGAAGGTTGGTTGCTTATTTTCTTTTTTATGTTTGTTGTTTGATGTAGTCCATACATATGAAATTCTTTCTAAAGCTCATTTTTAGGTTTTCTTAAAGCTTGTTTTGATTGCTTTTATATGCATTAAGCTTCACTCTTTTGTATTTTATTTTCTTATCTTTCATTCTTTTGTATAGAAAGTTCAAAGTACAAAGTTTTCATGTTTTTGATCGGTCCTTTGTGTAAAGAGTGATTATATGTTGTTGGTCCACTCATTAATTGGAATATCTTATCTATATATTTGCATAGTTTGACGAAAATGGAATATTTTAATACTATTCTGTTTACATTTGTTGTTTTAGATTAGGCACATGGATTTTGTAGGTCTAATTTTTTTTTTTTTGTATGTTTTCAATTTTAGGTAGAATAGGAATATAATAGATATTAAAAATAAAAGACTTTAGTATAATATAGTTGTTATAATAGGTTTGATTAGTAAGCTTAATAATTAAAAATATATAATAGTAAACAATAATAAATAATAACAATAAGTAATAAATATGTAAAAAATAAAAATATAACAAAAATAAAATTTTGAAAACCTTGCCTAGATGTTGAAAGGAATTCAAAATCGAATTTTAAGAAAATTTAATTCTTCATAAATATTGGGGAATTATTAAATACTAAAAATAATATAATAAAAGATTAATAATAATAATAATAATAATAATAATAATAATAATAATAATAATTTTAATGAAAGGGGAAAATATATAAAAGTATAAAAATTATTTTTTTAGAGAAATTATAATAATAAAAAATGATTTTATTTCAAAAATTTGTTTAGATATTGAAAACTTTTAAAGAGATTCACAAATTAGTAAAACCTTAAAATGAAACCCTAAAAAAAGAAAATCCTAAAATGAACCCAAAATAAAACCCTAAAATGAAACCCTAAATGAAATCCTAGATGAAACCCAAAAAACTTAGGTGAAACCCTAAACTTTAGATGAAACCAAAAACCCTAGGTGAAACCCAAAAACACTAGGTGAAATCTTAAACCCTAAGTGAAACCTGAAACTCTAAGAGAAACCTTAAACCCTAGGTGAAATCTTAAACCCTAAACGAAACTCGAAAGTCTTAATTGAAACCTTAAATAAAACCTTGAAACCTTCATTCTATCCAAAGCTCTAAAATCATCCTAAAATTTTAAGGATTGATATGAAAACCTTTTGTAAAATAATTTGTTCTCGAATGCTGCATAAATGATAAGATATTTAGAAAATTTTATTTTATTAAGATTTTTCATATAATTTTTTAATCTAAAAATAACAAAATTAAACAAAAATAAAAAACAAGATCTAAAATATAAATAATAGCATCTAAACTCTACTTGGAGGCTAAGGAGTTTGGGGTTTCTTTATATTTAAGGATCCAAACCCAAAACACATTTCATTGTCTTACATAACATTCATTCGCATATATTTTATTTTTAGATTATGATTTGCATTCATTCCATAGGCTCATTTTTTAATTGTTGCTATTGTTTATTGGCTAATTGCAACATCATTTTTCTGCAAAAATATCTTTTTATAAAAAAGGTTATTTAAAAATGGATTTAAAAGTATAATTAAAATAACATTCCAAACAAAATAATTCTTGGTACTTTGTCTAAATGTTAGAGAGTCACCAATAATTATCATCTGTAAAGAATGTTATTTTATTTTTAAAAAAATATTATAGTAAATCTTAGAAGGAAATGATTATCTTTGAATTTGCCTATATGTTGGAGAATTATAAGATATTTCTTTAATATAAAGATTTTCACAATATTCCTAAATATGGATTTTTAACTGATTTTCTTTTTAAAGAAAATGAAGGAAATTATTATTAAATTTCAAAATGACTATTTTTTATTTAAAATTATAGATAGCATATGGTTAATGGTATCAATTTTATGGGCGCCATAAGGATGCTAATCCTTTTCATGTGTAACCAACCATCGAACCCAATCTTGTTTTTATATACTAAAATTATCTTTTTAATAAACTTTAAACTCGTTTTATTATTTTATTAAAAAAATAAAATTTTTGGGAAACCAATCATACTTTAAAAAAGATTAGCGACAATACTCTATTTTCTTGATTTAAAATTTTTATGTCTAATGATCGAATCTCCTAACCAATATTTTATGACAAAGGGTTCTAGGGTTTAAAAAAGTCATTTGTACATATGTTGGGAGAAAATAAATTGAGGAAATAATTGAAAGTTTGAGGGAAGGCAAATGCAAAAGGAAAAAAAGGAGAAAGGGACTATAAGAAGAAGAATAAGAAGTTTGAGATGGCGAAAATTGAGAGAAAGCAATAATCACTAATGGCTTGATTGTCAACCTTTTTATTACTCCGTCCCTATAGATGCTAAAGATAATTGGGTGTGGTCTACGCCTTAAGCCAGGTTGTTTAATAGGTGCATTAAAAGGTGTGAGCTGTCTTGTTGTTGTTGGGATTATAGGTTGGTCTTTGTACATAAAAGCCAAAACTGGTTCTAGTTTGTTAATGGATCTTTTGATAGATTGAGAGTTGTTAAAGATTTATCATTTTTATCTTTGCTTTTGTTTTGGTTGTTTTTAGGTTGTTTATAGTTGTGATGGTGGGATTAAGAGTTGAAGGATGGCAAGTGCAAAGAAAAGAAGAAAAAAAGGGAAGATAAAATGAAGAATAAAAAGATTGCTATAATGGATGTTGAGAAAAAAGAAAAAAAATATAATTGTTAATAGGATTATTTTTTTGAAAATTTTGTTTGAGAAAAAAAAGAAATAGAAGTATTTTTAAAAGAGAAAGATTCGGTATCAATGGTGTTATTCAATTTAACGGTGTGTATAAATCAAATCTATTAACATGTTCTTATTTGGGTATACTTGTAAAAGTTTAATTCTTAATTGAATCAAATTAAAATGTTGTATTTTTAATTGAGAAAAGACCTAAACATTAGATTATGGATTTAGCATTTAGCTTAAAATTTACTAAAATAAATTTTTTATGATAGCTATAAATTTTTTTATATATAATGAAATATATATTTTTATATTATGATTTTTAATAAACTTTAAACAATTTTTTCTCTCTTCTTTAGATTTTTATATATTTTAAATATTTTTAAAAATATTTTTAAATTTAAAATATTAAATATAATATTTAATAACTTATTTTATTTTTTTTTAGAGAAATAAATATAATTTTCGCAATTGAAAAAAGTACTACTAAAGCCCCGTTCACGACACCATGATGTGGGCTAGTTGGGTAGCTTTTTGTTCTTACGTGGCACCATGTTGTCATTTTGATGACATCTTTAGATGAGATTAATCTCAACATTTCTATGGTTGGGGACTGTAACTTCTAGAGTGCAGCGGAGAAACACAACCTTCAGTTGGAATTTTTGTATTATAATACTCTTATTATTGTTTATTTCCTAAACTATTTTAATATAATTCTTTTGTTTTTGAATTTAATTTTGATATAAGTTTTATATTTATGTATCTAAATATCATTTGTAATTGTAATAAATATTTTTATAATTTTAATATTTAAAATTTAATTCTTATTTTAATATGAAATAATATACATAAAAATTTTTAGTGAATAAAACTTTTAAAATTTTGTTTGATATAAAATTAATTGAAGTAAATTTTAATTAATTATTAACTTAAAAATTTAAAACATATATTAAATATTTCTTTATATCTAAATTTTAATAAAATACTTTTAATAATTATTTTTTAATTATAATTTATTTCACTGTCACAATATTTATATTTAAACGCATATATTAATCTCAATACTATAATATTCACTCTTACCCTTATAAAACCCTACATCGCATATGCATAAATGATAAACCCTCTCTCATTTAATTAAAAAGAAAGAAATTAAAAACTCTCTCGCGAAACTTTCCCCAACAAACCACCACGCGCCGAGATCTACATCCCGCAAAAGGATCGCCAATGAGAAGGGCCTCTTCGTTCACCTCCACCATTCTCTCCAGGACCCTCGCCACCGTCCACGACGGAGGAGTGGTCAACCTCCACCCTCGTTTCTTGCGGGTAGCGCTCTTTTACAGCAGCGGAACCAACAATTCCTACAAACGCCGTTGTTGGTTCTCTACAGTCCTCAGTTCCTTTTCTAAAAGCTCGGCTCAAGCTGTCTCTCTGGGCCTTGCTGGCGCTTTTGCTTCCGTTGTGACCGCTGCTTCTGTCTACGCCAAGGAGCCGACACCAGCCGAGCTCATGCCAAAAGACGTTGTTCTTTATCAATATGAGGCCTGTCCATTCTGCAATAAAGTTAAAGGTAGTATTTTTTATTTTTTCTTTGTTCGTACTTTCCATTGTATTCATTCGAATTAAAACGTTTTGGGACAAAATTAATCAATCAATCTAAATTCAGATATGATTTGGCTTTTGCCTTCTAGCAACATTTTATGAAGTAAAAAATAAATAGTAGAAAAAGCAACAACCATGGAACAGACTTAATTAGGTATTATTTGGTTGTGTATGCTACCTCCGTTTGCTCTCTAAGTAAAAAAAAAAAAAAGTTCATTAAGAAACAAAAAGAATTTATATTTTTGAAGAATTTTGCTTAAATATAAAAAAGGCCCCAACTAAAATTAAATAATCATCCATGCCCCTATGTTTTGTCGCAATTAATTGAGCCTGTAAACATCTATTTTCACCCAATGTAGCCTTCGATTAGTTGGAAATTGGTGATGGCGGTTAACCAATTTTTGTCCAATTAGAGCTCAGTTGGGTGAAAATAAATATTTGAGGGCTCAATTGATTGCAATAAAACTATAGAGGCTTGGATTTTAATTTTAGTTGGGTCTTTTTCTATACTTCAGCCATTGAAAATTTAAAAAATAATAAATGCATATTTTTTCTTTGACATGAAACAATTATGTTATAATTGGTCTTGCATTTTAGTCATTTTCTCATTTCTAATCAACTATTATTTTTCTTTTCTTGCATTTTAGTCATTTTCTCATTTCTAATCAACTATTATTTTTCTTTCTACCTTTTGCATCATCTCAACAACATTTTAGGAAGTTAAAAGCAAATAGCATAAGTAACAACCAATTACAGTCTTAATAGTTTCCTGCTTCTTTGACTATTTCTTGCTGTTTCAGCGTTCTTGGACTACTATGATATACCGTATAAGGTCTTGGAAGTCAATCCCATTAGTAAGAAAGAGATCAAGTGGTCTGATTACAAGAAGGTGCCTATACTGATGGTTGATGGTCAACAGCTGGTGGACTCATCAGGTTCTTGTTGTCAAAACTGTATATAGTTTTTGTTAAGTTCTTGCTTAGATATTTCATATTAGCTGTAAAAACCAGAACCATTTTTTAAGTTATTGACTCATTTAAGCTCTTTAGTGCAATGATTGATTGAACTATCATGTGGAATACGCAGCTATAATTGACAAATTGGTTGAAAAGATCCTTCCCAAGAAAACGATTAATTCAGTTGCTGATGAAGATGAAGAAACAAAATGGCGTAGGTATGGACTGTGTCGTCTAGTTATTTTTATTGTTCTTGTGTGAGATTTTTCTCTTTTGCTCTTAATTTTTTAATCCACCTTGGAGTTGTTTAAGGAATTATGGGGCCAATTGCCCTGAAAGGTGCTTTTCAACACCTACCTCCTCAACGAGGCACATCATCTTGTGTTAAGAAGTTGAGAGTGGCAACTTCTTCTAGCTAGTTTCTTACCTTTCTTAAAATTTTTTTCTCTTCTATCAATAGAAGCATATTATTTTACAAGGAAAATATTATCAAAGCCTTTGAGGTGCAAGCCACCCAACATAACTAAAAGGGAGCGAATATTTTTCATAAAATGTTATCTATCTATTTCTATAACAACTTGTCTATTTAATATATCATATCTATGTGTATAATTTACAAAATTGAGAAAAAAATAATTTTTACGTTAAATTATATTTAAGAAATAATCTATGACGTAATCCTTTTGTATATGTATCCACTGGGAATTGAGTTACCTTTGATGATGTCATTATTTTTCAATTTGACATTTATGATATCTCTATAATATTATTTATTTCTTAACAACTCAAGCTTGATCTAATGGTTGTCACCATTGGAGGATTGAGGTCCAAGGTTGAATCCCTGTTATTTGTACAAAAAGATTATTTATTTCTTACTAAAAATATATTATCTATCTACATTAAAAGTATTGAGAGAAATTTATATATAGATGTACTGAATTTAGTTTTCCATTGATTTTAGATTTTAAACTAATTGAGATAAAATTGATCATGAAGTGTGTTAAGTTCAAAATAGTGTAAAAAAATGGTATACTCTCAGAATACCAATCAGTCTACCACGTTTTTATAATAGTGTGTATGAAGGGTAAAAGTTCTTTCGAGATAAGCCAAACTGAACTTAAAACTTTTACTGTGCAGCAAACAAGAAGAAGTTTACTGGAATTTCAGTGACATGTTTCAGGTCTAATATGTGAGGTTACATGGGCCTTTTAACTGCTTGAGTATTTGAGCAACCTCTCCTAGCATTCCCCTCAAAATTTTTTATTATCTGATCTTCTTGAATGATATTGTGTTGCTGCCATTTCACCTCAGTTACTTACCATCAGACAAAACTGAATAACTTGTATAAATATTTAAATTAATTGTATTATTAGTTTAGTCCCATGCTTACAAACTTGAAATCTTTAGTTAGCAAAGCTGTTAGGTATCAAGATATATAGTAACCATAGATGTAAATATTCCTGGTAGCAGATAGTGTTTTGTGTCTGTACATAACTGTATGTATTCCCATTTTCTTCTATCTTGAAGTTACTATGAATTAATGATCTTCTGCTTTATCACTGTGGTTGATATATATTTCTGTGTTAGTGCATTTTATAGTCTTTCATTTTGTTTAGCTGCTTTTAGAATTGCTATTTCATCTTTGGTACACTAATAATGATGTCCTTATGTAGGTGGGTTGATAACCACTTGGTGCATGTCTTATCCCCAAACATATACCGCAACACTTCTGAGGCTCTTGAGTCTTTTGACTACATCACTAGCAATGGTAAATTAATGCATGATTTGCACTGTCTATATGTAGATCCCTTCTCTCCGCCCATAAGCCCTGCTATGTTCATATCAGTCATTAGTCAGTGCTTGATCCATTTGCCTTAAAGTTAATTCTTCATTTACTCCTAAAGTAGGGAATAATTATATAAACTATTATGTTGTATATAACAGATTCTTTAATAAATAGTGAACATATAATTATATATATATATTTTTATGAGTCATAAAAATTATCAATTAATTAAACTTCTTTACATCTTCGTTACTTTGAAATGTTTTTTAAAATGCCTATGACTTCTTACGAACTTTATCAACGAAATTGCAACATTTTAAAGGTCAACAAACTTTGAAAACAATTTTGTTTCAGGTGTTATATCTATTAGTACTTGTTAAAACGAGGAACATTATTATTCCCAATAATGAAATTGAGATAAAATTTTACAGTCAATTTTTAGGAATAGGAAATTTAAGATGTGAAACAGTACAAAATATACTTGGATAGAAGTCATTAGGGTTAGTCATGTCTAAGTCTTTTTACTGTTCAGGTCACCACCTTCCTGACTGTGTCTTTGGTAACATGCGTTGTTAAGCATAGCCTGTGAAGTCTTCTTTGTGCAAAGGTGAACTTCTGTGCTGCCTTTCTCGACCTCTAAGCTTACCTTGGATTGAAAAGATTCTGAGGTGAATCAACCTTCAATAGAGAGTGCAGAGTTTTGTATGGTGTTTTACACTTGATGGTGACATGAGAAAGGGAGTATAAAGAAGGCTGTTAGATTATGGAAAAGAGTTGAATAATAGGAAAATGGTGATTTAGAATGGCTAGGAGGTTAGGTTTTATGGAAGTTTTCTGATCAAAATTCTTAAGAAAAATAAGGAATATTGGTAAAGGAAAAAGAATAAGAGAAAAAATATCCTAAGCTTCACATCTAGGTTTCCTTGGGAGGCAAACCTAATATTGATTATATCGCACAATCAATTAAGAAAAGATCCTAAGCTTCACAAATAATGTTCCTTAGGAGTCGCACCTAATATTGATTGCATCATAAATCATAATAGCAGCAATCCTGGAAATTCTCTCATATTTTATCTTAATAGAATTGATATATGGACTTCTAACATCCCTAATCCTAAAAGAAAAAGAACTTATGTTCTCATTAGAACTTTAAAAATACTTAAAACTTGAAATAGAAAACTAGCAGCTGTAACTTAAAACAAAATCTAGTAGGATAAGAAAAACCCAAACTAGGATCCTAACTGTAATGTAATGTAAAATAATGAATATAACCCTAAACTCCTAATACTTGATAAACAAACAGAGTACTGCCTAATGTAAAATTAGCCTAAAGCAATCTAGAAACCCCAAATACAATAAATACAAATAAACCCATAAAATACAACAAAGTTGAAAACTAACATCTTAAGTAGTTTAATTCCTTAATTGGCATCTATATATTCTGCTTCAGTCACCGTAATTATGGTGATTATAAGTAGAAGACATTATAGAGTTACAACAGAAAATATGGTATGTTTAAATAACACTAGTATGCATAATGGTTGGTACCCCCATATAAAATGTCAATGTTCAAGGTTTGAGTCCACCTTGCCCTACTGGGCTTGCACCTAAAAAGGAAAGATCAAATAGTATTGAACATATAATGTGTATTGCTAATATGAGTAGGTTGGGCAAAGCAACCTTATTCTAGCAAATTGCCGTAACAGAAATCTATTCTACATAACAAGGTCCAAAACTAACATGGCTCCTTTTGGTTGCCAAAATACCCTCGCCAACATAGTGGACCCTTTGTATTAGTTTACTAGACTTAAGTTCATACTAAGAAACTCTAACTAGAAACCATAACTAGGGCTTCGCATAGTGAGTACTCTAACTAACTAGTTCACTATAAATTAAAGCTCAAATAGTTCGGGTAATGAGCAGAGCTAAATTCAAGTATATTTTTGACTCAACTCAAGTGAATCACTTGTCTAATTGCACTTTCAAGGTTTTTAAAACTTTTAAAGTTTTTAATGCATTATAATAAATAATTTTTAACATTAAAGCGCAGACATATCAAAATCCCATTCATATTTGCATTGTACTTGTGTCCAACATTGACATTCCTTGGACTCGGCTAAATATGTGTTAGACACCGGGAGATAGGAAAAAGAATTAGACCAGGAGGACACAGTCAGAATAGGTTACGGATACAAGAGGGTATTGGGTTGGCCATGCCATGGGGAATTTCTGATGCAGCTCCATAGCAACTCAGTGTTGAATGATCGTCCACCATGATTAGCTAGTTAGAGTCTATGCTTTGATGATCAGATACAATGCTGGTTTTCTACGCCATACATTGGGAAGCTGTGAACAACTAAGCAACATAGAAAATAAGTAATGAGGGAAGAGAGAGAAAAGCAAAGAGCTGTTAGCAACAAATGAAGCAAAAGAGAGTTGGACATAATGAAGTAGAAGAGATTTGTCTCTATGAGTTATTTATACTTCTGGTTTATAGGCTTCTTGATATGGGCTAATTGGTTTAGAATTGCAAGAATTCGTTCAACTAAAGATTTGTTTAAGCCTTCAAACATTATAGCAGCCCATTACACAAAAGTTAAAAATCAAACAAGAATATTAGGTTCTTGGGCATTTTAGCCAAAATTAAGTACCATAATTTAAGCAAATAATTAATGATGACAAAAATTAAGTAAAAACAGAACCAACATTTAAATTTATGCTAAAATTTCTAATGACAAAATATATAAAAATATATTTGTAATTAGTATATCCTATTCAAACGTGGTATTGCCATGTCTGCATCATGTTTTAGTACTTAGCTGTTTACTGTGAAGTTTAGCTCAAGTAGCTTAAGTAATGAGATGTGCCGATTTTGACTGTATTTTATTACTTAGTTCAAGTATCTCACAAGTGTAATATAACTTTCTAAATTTTTTAAGTATTTTTAATACGATATGCATATATAAATAATTATTTAATGCCAAAAATTTGCATTCGAGTTTTGGACTGAGACTTAAGTCAAGTTTTCAGCTTCTTAAGTTAATTATAATAATGGGGATAGGGTTCAAATTTACCACTCTACTTTGGGTGATTGATCAAATATACCATCAATCTTTGAATGTGTGCAATTTTTAACACGGTTCTTTTGAATTGATTAAAAATTGATAAAAGGTCAACGGTAAAAGAATATTTTGTAAAATATTTCTTTGCTTTCCTACAAAATATTCGGTTACTGTTAACTTTTGTCCTGTTTTTAACCAAATTAAAAGTAGAATTTAAAATTGCACCTGTTCAAAGATGGGTGGTAAATTTGATCTATCACCCTAATTAAGTGTTAGATTTGGACCTTATCCCATAATGCAAACCAAGTTGAGCTCAAGTAACTCCATTACTTTAAGAGTTGAGCCTAAGCACAAAAATAAATGCTCAATTGAGCTTGAGCTTTCCACTAACTGAACTCAGCTAAGCTTGATTATACTCCTACTAAAAAACTCATGTTATATCTAAGCATGTTTGTGCATAAAATAATTTTATTTAATTATTGATAGTCTAGAAAAACTCTCAAATAATCTATTAACAAAAATTGTGTATAGAATTCATGAACATATAAGAAATTTGGTTTTGTACGGAATTGTTAATTATATGTATTATGAATTGCCTAACATTAATTATAAGGGCCTGCTACTCTACCTGTTACATCCACAATGGTGCTATTCTGATTATGGAGTTCTGTGTTGTGCCACTTTTACTTACTGGATGATCTTTGTAATCTAATAGTCATTCCATTTGTTTCCCTATGCAAGTCTGCAAGTATGACATTTTCTATGTATTTGACAATATCATAACCTACTCACCATGTTATTACAACCTTTTTTTTTTTTTTTAAATTCCATACTTTCTAATTTGTTTTAACTTTTTTTGATTTACTTTGATGTTATCCTCAACTTTAATGTAGAATTATCTCTTCGGGGGATTTCAGTTGCTTTTTGCTAAGCATACTGATTATGCTCCCTGCTTGAGTTTGTCCTTCGCTATTGAATCAATACTAGCATCGGATTCCAGCTGAAATCTTGATTTTCATGTTATTCTCCCTTCCTACTGCAGGCAACTTCAGCTTCACCGAGAAGATAACAGTGAAATATGCTGGAGCTGCAGCTATGTATTTTGTGTCCAAGAATCTAAAGAAGAAATATAACATCACTGATGAACGTGCTGCCTTGTATGAAGCAGCAGAAACATGGGTGGATGCTCTAAATGGTCGAAATTTTCTTGGTATGTCTTCTATATGCAGTGAATATAGTTTTAGAGATAAAGTCAAATACATACAAGTATGTATCAATTACTGGATTGATCATTATGACACGCATTCATCACCTGACATCTATTTATGTTTATAAAGAAAATTTTAAGTTGTTAGTCTTAGTGGGATAACAATTTAATTGAATTAGTACATTAAAACGAAGCTCCTTGGCCTGAGTCTCGGAGAGCACAAACTTGAACCTGTCTTGAGAGTGTTATATAGGAACATTGCTTTTCTTATCCTATGTCTTTGCAGAGCGATTGTTAGTTTAGTTTTTGCCTCATTCTCATTTTGTAGGTGGATCTAAGCCTAATCTTGCTGACCTTGCTGTCTTTGGGGTGCTAAGACCCATACGTTACCTGAGGTCTGGTAGAGATATGGTGGAACACACTAGAATTGGAGAGTGGTACTCTAGAATGGAGAAAGTGGTTGGAGAATCATCAAGGATCAAGGCTTAAGACCATGCTTTCTCCAACGTTTGCATCATGATATATCTGTTGCCAACTCTTTATATATATATATATATATATATATATATATATATATATTCAAAAGAAACAAAATAGAGTTTCTGAAAAACAAATTTTGCCATCTGGTAATGAATGATTGCAGGTTTATGAGTAATTCTGCTATTGTAATTCTTTGAATGTTGAAATTGCAATAATTTCTGTAGTTAGATTTTGTAAGCAATTCTAAGGAATGAAGATGCATACTTCACATATGGATTGAAGTATTTCACCACGATTTATGCCTTATAATGGGCTTATAATTAATTCGTTAAGTCTTGTCTGCTTCATTGTGTCTTGAAGGCTTTAGCTATTTCATATATCAGTTCAGAAATAATATATCCTGGTCTTGTTTTACCTTTTAGCAATTTCTTGGTATTTTGCCTCCCTGAATTAGTTTTGTTTTGTAAGCTTTGCATTGTGTGGTAGGGAAGACAGAAAAGTAGAAAGAGAAAGGTGAGAAGAGTGAAAACATTTTGTTTCCCAATCCCCTAATATGGTTGGTAGAAGAAAAGAAAAGCCAAATATTTTATCCTTATTCTCTTTAAAGCTTATAATTGGAGATAACTATAGAAAATGCAAGATTTATTTATTTATTTAATTTTTTGAAACAAAGTTTAAGAATTTCATTACTTCAGAATAAGCTTATCTTGTTCTACAACTTCTTGAATAAAAAACACACTTGCACCCAATACCGGGTCTCACTCTGATAAAGAGCCCTTCTAGCTAACAAATGGGTCGGCTGATTTGCCTCTCGGAACACATGATTACCCGTCCAAGTTTCTATTCCTTTACGCCTCATTTGGATCTCCTCTATTAGAATGCCATCAGGGGGTAGGTTTTGTTCAAGTAGCTGTATCTGTTGTATCACCCTCATTGCATCACCTTCGATCTCAATCTTGTTAAACCCCATTTGTCTCGTTAGCTTCACTGCTTTTGCTGCCGCTATTGCCTCTCGGATATTTCTAACCTATTTACATAATTACCCTATTACCTCTCCATCATGGTTCCTGGCTAGTACCCGTACTCCTTCAAGTCTATCCGCACTGTTCAACGCCCCTTCGAAGTTCAACTTGATTATGTTTTCTGCTGGTGCTCTCCAAATCGTCTGCTCTATTTGACCTTTACACATCTCCATTTCTCGCGCTTTTTTGTATTCCTATATGTAGTCCGTGACAAACTTAGCCGTTTCATGTTGGTTCCATACCATGTGGTTAATGACCTCCTCATTTTTACTATGCCACAAAGCCCATGCAGTGGTGATAAATACTTCCATTCTCGTAGGTTCCATCCTCTTCATTACGGTCGACATCCAATTCCCCTAATTCTGCCATTGCAGTCCGTTGATCACGTCACCTATTCCAATCTCCTCCCACACCTTTGATACACGATGGCATTAGACAAGTGCATGGATAACCGTTTTCTCCTCTTACTGGCATCTTGGACAGATCGCCATATCCAGTAGCTTTCTTTCTTTCAGCTTAGAATATAGTGGTAGTTCGCCTTGCAAAAACCCTGACTTGGGACTTTGAGTTTCCATATTTTCCCCCTGAGCCCCACCCTTTGCTCATTGGTAGCACCATTGGTAGATGTTATGTCTGCCAAGACTTCTTGCCATTCTGCTTGTAGAACTTGGTATCCGCTTCTGACTATGTTCCGTCCTTTGTGTAATGCCAAATTATCTTTTCCTTTATGTTTACCTCACCTAAAGGGATGGGCGTAATTTCTTCTACCATATCCCTTGTAAAATAGCTTCCCACCTGGATATTCCACTGGTTGGTGCCTTCCTCAAAAAACTCTCACCTTCATATCCATGGGGATGGTAGGATCATTTGGAACTGGAACAAAGCAACTAGCCTTCGGGACCCATCTTCCATACTCTAATATTTGTCCCATTTCCCATTCTCCACTGGATTCCACATATAAAAAGCTCTCTCCCTTTACAAATACTTCTCCAAATGTAGGATGGATTCTTACTTATTTCTGCCTCAAGGAAACAGTTATGAAAATATTTCCCTTTTAACATTTTTGGCTCCAATGATTGGGTATTATGAATGAGGTGCCACCCTTGTTTGGCCAATAAAGCTATACTAAAATGTTCCATCTCCTAGAACCCCATTTCCTTTTGCCTTATACAGTTTCCACCATGTGAGCCAATGAATCCCTTTCCTCTCCCTTCCATTCTTCCGCCAATATCTGTTTATTGTCATATTAAGCTCATGATACAACCCCTTAAGAAAAATGAAGCACGACATCGCATATGAAGACATTGACTGTAATACAGCTTTGATGAATATTTATTTTCCTCTTGTCGAAATGCTCTTAGGGTTCTAGCTTGTCACTTTTTTCTTCATTTTGTCAACTATGCTTCTAAAGGCTCTCTTTTTCCACCTCCCAATTAACATAGGAAGACCTAGGTACTTCTCTGAATTGTTGGTGGTCTGTATGCTGAAAATGTCTTTCGCGGTGTCTTGTCTGTCGGCGCTCGTATTCCTAGTAAAATATAGCCCTGATTTGTCGTTGTTTATCTTATGTTGAAAACTATCTTCATGTATCCTTTGCATGTCCCTCATCCTTTCGCATTCTCCCTGGTTTGCTTTTGTGAATAGCAAACTATCATCTACGAAGAACAAGTGAGTGATCCTGGGCCTATTACAACTAGCTCGGACTCCACTTAATTTGCCTTCCCGTTTTGCTTTTGACAGAACCGTTTATAGACCTTCTGTGCACACTAAAAATAAATAAGGTGATAGAGGGTCCCTTTGGTGGAGGCCCTTTTCTGGAATAATTGTATCAATAATCAGACCATTGATACACACATTGTATTTAACAGACCGCACGCACTTCATAACAAGTGAAACCGAACCACTGCTAAACCTCATTTTTCTCATGACCTTATCAATACAAACCCATTCTACCATGTCATAGGCTCTACTCATGTCTAACTTCCGGGCTACCTAACCTTCCTTTCCTCTCTTTTTTTGACTCTGACCATGAAGCAACTTATATGCAACAACTAAATTATCAGTGATTAATCGGGACAAAAGCACTCTGATTTTCACTAATGCAATATGGTAAGGCAAATTTCAACCTATTAGCTATAGCTTTAGCAATGATTTTATACAGCACATTACAAAGACTAATATGGGCGAAACTGGGTCATCTTAGTAGGATTAGGCACTTTTGGAATAAACACAATATTAATATTGCTCACCTCCTCCAAACTACCCTTCCTATTAGAATCAAGAGGCAATAATCAGTAACCTCAGAGCCTATGATATGCCAAAATTTATGGAAAAATAAAGCAGGCATAACGTCCGGACCAGGTGTCTTTAATGGGTGGATTTGTTTTGAAGCTACATATATATCCTTAGATGTAAATTTGGTTTCCAATTGGCTGTTCTCGTTACACATGGAGTAATTGCCTCTAAGATTACATCACAATCGGTCCTCCTTTGAATGTGGAATATAACTGTGAAATACCATTTAGTTTCCCCAGCTACTATGACTTCATCTTCGTGCCACTACCCCCACTCATCCTCCAATCTTTGAATCAGGTTGACTCGCCTTCTTTGGGATGCACAGGTATGAAAAAAATGAGTATTCCCATCTCCTTCTTTAAGCCACATAACTCAGGATCTTTGGGACCAAAAAACTTCTTCTCTTTCCAACAGAATATTCAGCCATTCCTTGACTGCCAACTCCCTTCTTATATTTGCTTTATCAGTGCTGCTAATCTGTATATCGTGAAGTTCCCTGTTCAACTTTTCTATTTCTTCGTGTAGCCCATGGAAGTGTTCCTTCCCCCAAGTTGTTAACTCTTCAAAATATTGTCAAGCTTTTGTCCTACCCCGACCCCTCGACCCCACCTCCATATATCCTCAATTATTTGTTTGCAACTTGGCTCCTTCACTCAAAATGCCTCAAAGTGTTTCCTTTGAGAATCTCTCATTCCCTTTTTTGTTTCTACTTGCCCTTTTAAGTCTACCATGATAGGATTATAGTTTGAGGCCGGATTAGATAAATGCACCACTGTGGCATTTGGAAACAATTCCATCCAAAGAGGGTTTGCTACTGCTCGATCAAGCCGTTCCCGAACTCTATTCGTAGGTGAATTCTCTTTAATCCATGAGAAGCTTGGTCCTTTAAAGCCCATGTCGACTAACCTTGCGTCATCTAGAGAACTCTTACACTCCTCCATTTGACTTCTCGATTTACCTCCTCTTTCCTTATTCTCGTCCTCCCATGAGATCTCATTAAAGTCTCCCAGGCAGATCCATGCTAAGTGATTCTCGTTGGCTAATCGTTTAAAAGTACTCCATGCCTTTTGCCTCTCCCTCATCTCCGTTTCACCATAAAAACCCGTTAACCGTCATTCTTACCCCCCTTGGTCCTTTATCTCTGTATCTATATGATATCTAGAATAGCTCAACAATCTAACATCTAGACATTCTTTCCAAAGCAGTAATAAACCTACACTTCTACCATTCACGTCCACCTCTAGTATTCCATGCATCCCACACATCCTTCTTACCTTGTCTAGCTTTTTTGTACTTGAAATGGTCTCACTGAGAAAAACCATTTTGGGATTTTCTCTCTTTAGTATTTTCTAAAGAGCCAGAACTGTTCGTGGTTTCCCAAGCCCACGGCAGCTCCAAGCTATGCACCTCATTACTCTTGGCGGGCCTGATCTCTAGGTCTCGCTGTTTGTTCAAATTTTCCTATTGAACCTCTCTTAGCATTCTTTTTGCTACATTTGTCTTCTCCATCAATCTCCATAGCAATAGCGCCATCCTGCTCGCTCTTTCGTTTACCCATCACCATTTCCAAAACCTATTGTTCTTCCCTCACTTCTCTGGTCATTTTCTTCCATCTGAGCCATTGATGAGTTTTCCTACTTGTTCCTACTGTGTACGAGCTGATCACATTTCCTTTCCTTTGTGGCTTTCACTCCACATCTCTTGCATGCGTGCAAATGGTTCTTGAATGTTTAATTCATGAATTTCACGTGAGCCCGACTATACTTTGGGACATTCTCTTTAACCAGACCATCTGTAGTACTTTGATTGTGGGCCCTATCACTTTTTAGTGACAGATTATTTAGCGTATGCTCTATTATTTTATCAATTGGTACCTGATGCGCTACTCCCGATGTAATATTCTCTTTCACACCCACGTGCTGATTTAACTCTTTGCTTTCTGCCCCATGTTCCTGACTCACTTGGCCTACATCTTTATTTGCTCTTGCTATGTCCTGTACCTTGTGCTCCTCATATCTAGGCCTGCTCTCAATAGATAACGTACCGTTCCTGTCATTATTTACCTCATTTGACTTCTCCCATGTTATCTTTTTTCCATTTAAATGCCCTATATCTGGCTTCTCTTCCCCATCCATCATTCGAATCCCGTGATCCCCGCTGTAACGATCCCTATTATCATGCCTCGTAACGGACTCCCCGTCTCCCACGTTTTCCCATCTCAGCTTGTGCCCTACTCTGCCACCTTCCTTCGTCGCTTTCTTACCGTTATCCTTCCTGT